TACTACTACTACGTATACTATATATATATATATATATATATATATATATATATATATATATATATATATATATATATATATATATATATATATATTATATATATTATTATTATTATTATTATTATTATTATTATTATTATTATTATTATTATTATTATTATTATAATTAATAATAACAACAACAATAATAATAATAACAACAACAATATAACAATAATAATAGTAATAATCACTATTTCAAAAAGTGGACCGCCCAGAGCTTGGGCGGCCGCCTAAGTGGATATCCCTGGGCGCCTGCCTGAACCCGACCAGGCAGCCGCCCAGGGCCCATGCCCCACCCAAGGGCGGAAATGCAGCTCATTGAGGGTATTTTTGAGTCATTTTTTAATACTAAAGAGGTAAAATTGTGGGTTTTAGGTTTATTTGAAACCTAAAACCCATTAGAGGCTATTTTAGAGAGAGACAACCCAAAAAAAAAAAAATTTCTACTAGGCCGCCCAGGTTCTAGGCGACCGCCTAGGAGCTAGGCGGCCTGGATCCCCCCAACCACCTAGGTGCAGCCTAGTGCTTTTTGAAACACTGATAATAATAATAATAAACTAAGCGGATGCATAACCGTTCCAGCAGCGACAGCTTCCCCATGCAACCACTCCCCATATCCAAGACCAGCTTCTATTGCCTACAATACGGTTCCATAGGAATCATGCTACAAATCAAAGTAGTTGAAAAGGATTGCATTCGATGAATTGATGGAAATCCACATGTAGTGTTTAGTTGATTGGCTCAATTATAATTTAAGGCAGGCAACGACGGCAGTAACTCAAGCACAAAAACCCTTGAGATGCTAGTTAAGGAAAGACAACCATCATGAGGCAACCATACAATACACACATAGAGATGCATCAACAGAGCATTCTTAATGTAAGTGAATCAAACTCTTTTGCCCTGCCCTTCAAATTGCAGGCTCTATATTCCAGAAACATATATGGCTGCATCACTAGTTATATCTAGGCATCATATCAGTTATCAGTTGGCTAGCTAGGGTAAAGCAGGAATGTGGGAATGCCAGGGACAAGTAATCCCTGGAGATTGCATTAGCATTTCCCTGCAAACCCCACTATGGCTTTCACACAATAGACTACACAGATTCCAATATCACTTTAATTCATACTGTAGCTATCCATTTGAACCAGAACGAAATGTTAGAGGAGCCCCATGCCATCAAGATATGATACTAACACTGCATGTAGTCCCCAAGATTCAAGACATTTTTAATCCCACTAAGCATTACTACAGCAGGAAACTGACATTCCACATGGTCTGCTATAAGTTCTACTATATTCCAAACTTGAGATGTACAGAGATTTGGAGACCAAGAAAAACAAAACCACCAGTGGAGTAGAAAATAGGTGAGAGTTTAGCAGGTGCATTGTGCATAAAGAAATAAAAGTAGATTGTGTCACGTAGATGGAGGATAAGAGGAAACAAAAGACTCAGAATAGCAAGACTGATGAAAGCTAACATGGCTCAGCCAATCACCCAAAAGCATAGCAAGATTGATGAATGCTAACATGTCTCTGTCTAACATTAAAGACCCTGACATTAACTTCCCTTTGCAGCCCTTGTTTGGCCAGTAGATTTGCTTCAACACTAGCATACTAAGATATATCCTATGAGGTAGCCAACAAGACGAGCTCCTCAAAGTAGTCTGCCACTCTTTATGGATATGGATTCTCCCCATTGGCCTACTTGATCACATAAATAGAATTCCCTTCCGCATTTATACGATCCAAGTATCATATGGACCATAGTTGCTGGAACCGTGTAGGAAAGGTCACCTATCCGCTCTGAAACCTCGATCCCACGATTCCAGCGAGAGATCTTGGATGGAACGTGGATCCCTTTATTGTGACCCTCGTTCACAGTAGGTTTGAACTGCGGTTCTCAAGGGTATGATGCAGTGCATATGATATTTTCTCTATTTGGCACTGACTCATATGCACTGATTCAGGTATGTGCCCAATGGTACTGTGGACCCACATGTCATTCGCTATCCCTTAAAACTTACTACTGTATTCCTTCCTTATGAAATCGCGCTTCCCTGTAACAAGGATTGCTCTCCCTTGATATAAGGTCCTACAGATGACAATCCTAAGCACAAAGAGCTTTCAGCAATCCACAGTTCTGCGGACTCGAGCCAGCTCCCACTCCCGCGAACGAGTGAGCACCGCCAAACTCTTTGCCTCTGCGGGGTCACATATTCCCACTGGTCCTGAGAAGGTCATTCTTACCTCCCCCAAGCTATGTCCAAGAATGCTACTCGAGCCACTTGTCATGTGTTCTTGGACAGCTCGGGGGAGGTAAGAATAACCTTCTCAGACCCAGTGGGGATATGTGACTCCACAGAGGCAAAGAGTTTGGCACTGCTCACTGCTATAAGGGAGTTGTCCGAGAACAATGCCAATAAAGTTAAGCTTAAGAATTTCCTACATCTAAACCTATACATCACTGACTCCCAAAATATAAAGAGGTCGCATAGCAAATTCCCTGAATGCATCCATAGCTAGAGCAGATAATACAACTAAGTCATGTGCCCTCTCTACAACCACTTCCTAAGTCCTCTTGTTACTACCAAAAATGTGACCATCACCCTCTTTCCTAATGCAGCAGTTAATAATAGTGAATCAAAGATTCCCCAATTATGGGGTCTAGTAGATGAGATTGGGGATGTCCACCCACAAAAGAGCTGGTCAAAAGCATCTAGCATCACCCAACGGGTTCCCACAGGTCAAAAAAGAAGTTTCATATCCTTGCAAATTTATTTGCAATCAATGAGATGGGCCACTATTTCCTCCGCCTCGTACCACATGTCGCAATGTTGGAGGTGGTCTTCTGGGGATTTGTCTAGGAATAGCCCAAATTTATTCCTAGATAACGACCTCCTTATTTTCCTGAGGACATCATTAAACCAAAAGCTGGAGAACCTCGAACCATCTATACAGCCTGCCCATTAAATGTCAGACTCAAATCATAAAGTGGACGTTGGTCACATTTAATAGTAGTTGCGAGCAAAGGGGAAAGTCCATAGCAACAGAACAATGAAAGTGAAAAGACTGATGAACACCAAAATTCCTGCAAAGTATGGACATGTTAAATCAGACAACGACATTATTGCCCTCTCCAAAAGTACATAGCAAAGAATATGTGGACATGTTAAATCAGGTAGCTGCACTTTGCACAAGCATGACAGAAAAGAATATCTCAGCAACCGTAGGTGGTTTAAGTGGTGAGAGATCTTAATCAAGAGGAAACTTAATGTCTGAAACTCGAACCCTTCATGATCTAGATGTGCCAAAGAAAATGATGAGGACCAAAGGATAGCAATTAACATGGTTGTATAATATACTATAGTGTGTTGTGCATATGAAATGATTCGAAAAAGTTCAGTATATGGATTAGTACTTGCCCTATCCTTTCGCGAATGTAAATGCTAGACTTGATGTATTGAACTCTTCTCCCAATCCCAATATTTCTTATACCATTCTTTATTTTATTTATTTTTAAATAGTACGTTGATGAAGAAATATTCATTACAATTCAAATCAACAATGATAATATATGGGTTGTTAAGCATCACTTTCTATTTATAGCAAGAAACAAGCAATTGTCGGAAAATTTAATATCAATATATATATAACATAACATATCAATATACCCACAGATTGAGTGTAGCGAAGATGAGGATGTTGAGATAGATGAGTAGTAAGACAAGAAGGGATAGAATTCAAAATGAATCCATTCAGGAAAATTTAGTTGTGGCACCAATCGGCGATAAGATGAGAGGGAGTAGACTTCAGTGGGCTGGCCATGTGTGGCGCCAACCCAGTACAACACCTGTTAGGAAGTGCAAGTTAGTTCAAGTGGAAGGATTGAAAAGGGCAAGGGATAGGCCAAAAAGGACGTGGTTGGAAGTAGTCCAAAAAGATATGGGGACTTATGGCCTCACTGAGGGTATGATATTTAATATAGTAGATTGGCGGACCATGATTCATATAGCGACCCCAAATAATTGGGAAAAGGCTATGCTGATGATGATAATGATACATAAAACATAACATGCTCATAATTAAAACTTAAAATTATGAACGCTTGTATCAATATTTCCAGCCATTTCAATATTTAATCCCTTCCAATCATCTTTCTAAACTCCAAAGCCAAATTATCATTCCCCAGATAGTTTATGCCATTTTAATGCTCTTGCCCATTCATCTCATATCCAATTTTACCTCTTCAATAACTTTGCATGGGAGAATATTTAAGTAGTCATTTTAATGCTCTTGCCCATTCATCTCATATCCAACTTTACCTCTTCAATAACTTTGCATGGGAGAATATTTAAGTAGTTCGGTGGAAAGAACTAGCTTAAACCATTAAGTGCCCCTATTTACTTACTAAACCACAAAACAATGGACCTTTGTCCTTTTTTTCTTTAGGATTTCACAGATGGGCACATCTCCAACCCATAAATGAATTCTGCTATGATAAAAATCGGAAAAAGAAAAAAAAGAAAAGGTTCTATAGTTATGGGTAATAAAACCTAAAACACAAGACAAATACAATTCATGTTGAACTTACCAATAATGAACCGTACAGCACAAGAAAATATTTACTCATTCTCAACAAACTAGTGCAGTTCTTTTTTCAGGACCAATTTAGATTCCAAAACTCTGAAATATTCTCATTAGTTAGAAGTTTTAGCAAATAATCAAGCCAAAAAGAAATCCAGAAATAAACTCTAAGAGCAATACACCTTCTGGAACAAGTCAAGGAAATCGTCTATGGCTACTTTAAGCCTGGATTGCAGAGGATAAATACATCATCCGCAATACTAAAGAATGAACAAACAGTTTGAAGAATAAATGGCAATAACTATGAAATATTATTCTACTCCATGGCTAGAGAGCCAAAAAACCCTCAATCTTTTTATTCAATAATAATAATGTTTGAAAAAGAAAGAAACATGAAAAAACAATAATAAAAAAATAAAAATAGAGAAATGGAAGCTATGATGTACCTGGTAAGTTAAGATTTTTTGCTTTTTTTGGTAATTTCTTATTTTCAACGAATCAGTCAATTCTTTATTAGCAGAGATGTAAATCTCCCAATTGCAAGTGTTAAATGATAAAAATAACCTCAAAGATCAGGTACATCTAGAGGAACCAATGCCTTGATGGTTAATCCAGGACCTTAACTAAAATAATTTGTATCATATAAGCAAACCCAAGTTGAGGCGATCCTCAACTAGGGGAAACACCAAGGTCATCTTTAACCATCGATATTAGAAAGAAGCCATTGATAACAGGGGAGAGCAGTGGGATCAAACTCATTCAGCCTTTATAGCTCTCTATAAACAAGCGAATTAACTAAAAGAAGCTTTAGCTACACATGGCATCAAGCAAATATCATTTTTTTATGAATTTATATATCAAATTCACTTTCATAATATCTACTGCAAGTATTCCAAGTATAGGATTCTAAAGTACCAAGAACATAAGTTGTGATGCCTGTGTTCCTGTCCTTGTGACATAGGGGAAAGTACCCCCACACTGCTGGTCTTTCCACCATTTACTCTGATGTCTTATCTGCCCACTGTAAAGAAACCTTCTAAGGAAAAATTGTATCTCACACAACCTCATCATCCACATTCAAGTAGGAAAAGGAAACGAGCCTCAAAATAACAAAATGATTTTATCCAATAAACGCAACCACTTTCCTTCACACTCCACACCACTTCCCAGTTATGTGTCCTAAAGCTTGTGTGGCAAATACTTCTTGAGTTCTTGTACATTGATTAGTAACTTGTGGCGTTTTTTTTCCTGTTACTGGAGCCATGCCTTTCTATAGAGTTGTGGCACATACTTTTGTTTTACAATGATCAGTAACTTGTGCCACACACTTGTGGCTTTCATTTGACATGTTTCCTTGCATTGAACTTATGACAAGTAATTCTGTACCTAAGCTCCAGAACATATAATATGCTTTAAAATCTAAAATTAAAGACCCTAAAGCTATGTAGAACAGGCTTTAATGTGAACCTAGTGTACACCGTTGCATATCTTCCTGTTTCCTAGTATATATGGGGAGCAAACAAAATACTTGAGAACAGAGACAAGAAATGAATCACTCAAAAAAATGTTCAAGCCATTCAAGACAAGAATTATGTAGACAAGAATTATGTTGAAGAAGGTGATGATTTCAACAAAGTTTTAAGGACCAACACACAAAATGCAACAAGCTAGAGATCATAACGAGAAAAGATAACCAACAGAAGAAAAAGGGGAACAAAATGTAAAGTAAGAAACTGGGACAAAAACAAATGCTTTTGAAAGAAACATTGGACAGCTAGAGAAAAGAGAAGAAGCAAAAACCAAGGCAAATATCTTCTTAATCTTTTAAGCTGTCAAATGTGCACATTAGATTTTGCATGCATGAATTCTTTTTGCAGTTTTACATAAAAGAAGATAATAGATGCACAATGCGGAGAGTAGAACCCAATAAACAATAAGTGAACATAGTGTTATAAACACAAGAGTCAACCACCAAGCAATGGGACAGTGATGGTAAATAGACAAAAACCTGGGCTATGAAAATAGAGTTCAGATCATAACCTTGAGGCCTTGCAATTTGCGGTAATGATGAATTAATGAGCTTCATGAATTCCATCTTATGATGCCAATAAAAAAAGAACCACGCTTAATAAAACAAGGGCAGATATAATCTACTAAAGTACCGTTATTGGTGTATGTAGAACCAACAAAAAGAAGACAATGAGAAAAAAATTTCCTTTATATGACAATGACACAAAAACAAACATAGTTGCATGCCTATGTGTATGCACATACGTACATAAATACAAACATATACACAGTACACTACAATACATAAATACATGTAACCTTAAGCAGCAAAAAGGCTGTGTTTTTATGTATATGGACAGACAAGTGGATCAGGGACAAACCATGACACCAACTTACATGACCAAATGTATGACCTAAGTTCAGAGTTGCACGGAGTCCACTCTCCTTCTCATCTAAGGAAACAACCTCAGCTTTATTCTCACAAGAACGTTTGATGGCATATGCCAGTGCACTAGGGTCCCTGCACCCAATTTCCAATATCCTGCATTAGCAGAGTCCGCTGGAATACCAAATAAATACAAGCAAGAATTCTTCAAAATAAGATATTCAATTGAAATATACATATGACTTGATCCTAACAAACATAATTATTTCATATCCCTGTAAAAGGAACCAATAAGAAAAGAGAAAATCCAGCCAAGGAAGTAAACCACGATACGACAAAAATATTCAGATAAATAGACACATTGAAATATACAGCGATGCTAAATCAGGACAACTTAAAAATGATCGCTTTTTTTATACCTTCCTAATAAGGCTTGCATATTTTTCTCTTGCCACTCAAAGAACTCTGCATCCCTAATCAGGCCATACTTCACCACTTCAGCAATACCAGATGCTAATTCTCTGTCTGGTAGCGTGTTCAGTGTATCTGTATCGATTAGTACACATTGTGGTTGGAAGAATGCTCCAATCAAGTTCTTACCCAATGGATGATTTATTCCAGTTTTTCCACCTACAGAGGAATCCACCTGCACATGAAATATTCCTATGTTAAATATACCAAAGTTGTCAAAAACAATAAAACAAAGTTACACCTTGACTATATATCATGAAAAGGGCCAAAAGGGAACCTGAGCCATAAGGGTTGTTGGAATCTGAATGAAATTGACACCACGAAGAAAAGCAGCAGCAGCAAAGCCACACATGTCACCAATTACACCCCCTCCAAGAGCCACAAATGTACACTTTCGATCCATTCGGGACTCAATAGCCTTGTCAAACACCTTCATCAGGGTGTCCTGCACAAATACATTGCTGAACATTTAGCAGATAGCAATAATTCAGACTGGAAGTAGCTTGAAATGGTATGAGTCATAAATTTTTTATGGGACCAAATCACAGGCATATAAACAGTCAAAATACAAAGTCAGAGGCCCCATGATGTGTCAATGTACAAATGACACCCATCCTAATTTTAAAGTACATACCATGTCTTTGTATTTCTCTCCATCAGGTAAGATCACATGCTCTACAGAAATTCCAGAGTTGCCATAAGTTAAAGCACTGATAACTTTCTCAAGGTATAATGGAGCAACAGTTGTATTTGTTACAATAAGGACTCTCTTTCCCTTAACATGCCTGCATTAAAATTAAAACCAAAGAAAAAAAATGAGACTTATTTGGAAGTAAAAAGAGGGAAATATTCAGAGGACGATAGCAGCATTAGCAAGGGAAAGAAGTTGGTACATTTGAAGATTAGAATCTACAGATCGTTCAAAACATGATTGCAAACCAATGGACCACAGATCCTACGGCAGAATATATCTTGTGTAATGGGTTATCTTATGAAACTCATTCAAGTGAACAGCTAATACCCCTTTTGCACCTTCTCATTCAATTTTTGGGTTGGTTACAAATGTAGTTCAGCTTACATAAATTACATTTGTAAATCAGTCCTGGAACTCTTGAAACTGAAGAGGAGAAAACAGAGAAACTCATAAACGCTCAAAGTTATGCTGAATCTCGAATTTCCTTCACGACATGATTTCCCTTTTCAAACTGACTATTGCACTAGGGCTTATTCAAATGGTTAAAACACAAAATTATTCCAGAAAGACCTATGACAGGTGACATTAAAGTGCTATGTACAAGCATGTTACTGTAACCATGAACCTAAATTGAAAAACATGAATAAAAACAAAAATAACAATAAGTGATCGAGGCACCCAATTCTGCAATTGGAGAGTATGATGCAATAGAATATCCAAATAGCAATCCAACGTAAAAGAGGAAATTTTTATTTCCATTTTTTCACGTAGCTTCGAACAAAAACAAGAAAACAACTGAAGGAGAAAAACTTATCTTAAAAACAGAGAAAAACAACACCTGAGAGGGAAAAGAAAGCAAAAGAAGAGCACCTCTGAAGAAGATCAGGCTGATCAAGCAAACCCGGGCCGATATATATAGGATAGCTTCTGTTCCCCAAATCCACATCCACTATCGTGGGGGCATTCGCGCTCGAGGGCTTCGTCGTCTCCACGATTGGAGCCGCACTCGCCGCAATTTCCAGTAGAATTCGAGAATTGGTCTTCTTAATTCCGGAGCAGAATAATGGATTCTTCTTCGAGCCCGTGATGGGGGATCGAAAAGAAATGGAGGTCCTTTCAGTATAAGGAATGAAGCGCTCCGAGGCCTTGGAACGAAAGAGGAGGGTGGAAGGAGATGGAGATGGAGATGAAGAAGCAGCCATGGACTGTCGAAGGCTGGCCTTTTGATGCAAGATAAAAAAGGAAAATAAAATTACAGAGAGAGAGAGCTCTCTTCCTCTCCACTCACTTCAAATTTGTTGAAGAGAGAATGTGCGCGTAAAGAAGAAAGTAGAGAGCCTGGGTTAAGGCGCCATTGAGGTTGGTGAGGAAACCAGAAGCGTGTAAAGATGGATTGGTGTGCTTACACGTGTGAGTAATGTGGAGAAAATTACTGTGGTCATATCTTTTCTTTTCGTTTTGTCATTTTTTGGGTCAACGGCGGGCCGTGGAATGGTTCGGTAAGCAGAGGAAGCAGTGGAAGCGCCGTGGAATGGTTCGGTAAGCAGAGGACGCGGTGGGAGGGGCATAGCAGGATAACTACGTAGGATGACAAAGGTATTTTGGTCTAACTCTGTGGCTTTTAGGGTTTGGGTTGTTGGGGGCACTTGACGTGGTTAGGTGGTGACGCCTTCAAATGCAGGTGATAAAAACTGCACGTCACCGCTGCCAACGAGCGGGACCGATGCCGGACCGAACCTAGCCCTGCTCTCCATGAGCCGAGCCTAGGCCCTGCCTAGCCCTGACACAAGGCCAAGGCCACGGCCACGGCCACGCAGGCCCCACTGTAGTAACAGGGCAGCCCTCGGGATAAATGGACAAATGTAAAAATAAAAGAAACTACAAAGAACAAAAGGGTTGGCATCACCCTAGGCCAGCCCAACCATCCCATGGATTATGGTAGGGCGGCTCTATGTCGTCCGACCCTAGCTTGGCCGTTGGGCCAAATTTTGTGGCTTAGGCCCTAGCTTTTTATAACACTGGGCAACTTAACCCAATATCATCCATAAGAGGTGGTTTGTATGGACCATTTATACGGTTTTGTACTATTAGTTTCATCCACTTCAAAGGGAATATTGTTGGCTTGTGTTCATTGTTTTTTAAATGGAAATGTATATAATAAGACTACGGGGAGTGATTTTACGCAAGGGTTGCATAGTAATATAATGCAACAATTTTCAAAAATCATGTTAAATCCATTTGTTTAACCCTGATTTTTAAATAAATGTTGTTTTCAATCTAATGAATGATCACAAAAAAGGAAAAATTTGAAAATATACCCCAAAATATTTTTTTTGAGAGCAACTAATATCGACCATCCATTTAATGAGATGCTTAGATCAAAGCCTTAGAAGCATTTTTTTCTTTCTAAAATTTTTAGATTGCTTTAGTATCATTAGATTAACAATGCTAAAAAATAAAAAATTGATTTTGAATTTATAAAGGTTTAGATCTTGAAATTCACCAAATAGATGATCGAAATTCATTGTTGGAGGGCGCTCATTTTGATTATATCTTGGGTGCAAATTGAATTTTATTTTTTTTAGTATCGATTATTGGGACACAGGGAGTGGGTATGCAAAATTTGGGGTCATACAAATGTATTAAATATGATTTTCTAGACATGTGGTTGCATTATATTACTATACACCGGTTACATGAAATCATTCCCCTAAGACTATTTACTTTTAGTACAAAGAAGTTATATTTATTATCAGACATTAGATGTGAAATCAGGTGCCTAGCAGTATGTCATTGATTTAGCGCAAGTTCAAAATAAAAAAATTTAAACTATGTAACACAATTTAAGTGTTAGGATTTACATTTATGATTAAGGGTTGTTATGACCTCTTGGGGGTAGTCCGGTAATTTGAGCATCGATCTGACACAAAATGGAGGCGGTCCAGCACTTTGCTTCTGGAAAGCATGTTGTCCGGCACAAAATAGGGGTGGTCCGATACTTTGGGCAATGCGTAGCACAAAATGGGGGTGGTCTCGCACTTTGGGCTTCTGGAAAACATGCGTTGTGACACAAAATAGGGGCGGTCTAGCACTTTGGGCATGTGGTCCGGCACAAAATGGGGGAGGTCCGGCACTATGGGTATTTTCGTCAAAAAAATATGATTGTTTTTTATTTGAGGGCCATTTGTTAGAAAAGCTCAATTTGGGGTAAAAGTTGCTAAAAAAAACTTTGTTGGGGTAGGTTGTTTAGAACGTCTCCTTTTAGAGATTTTTTTTTTTGTAATTTTTTCTAAATTTTACGAAAAAAAAAACATTTTCAAAAAGACCAACCGAATTCTGGAAAATTAGTGTAAGATACCTAAAATAAAGTCCAAAATATTTAGTTCAAATTCTTCTTGGCAAAAATGTACGTCATCCTAAAAGTAATATGCCTCTACGACCTTATGGTTGTATTCAAACATGCTTTTATGATTGATCTATTTGAAACAATGTTCAAGGGCTTGGCTCATTGCCATGCCGAGTACCAGGGTATAATTCGTGGTTATATAAAAAACAAAAAATCATTAAATATGCTAACTTGTAAAAGTAATGTATGAATACTTTGTAAGCAATTTTAATATGTTTTATGATGGTTTCATAGTGTTTTTTTTTTTCATAGGCCTTTTTTTTTTTTCTGAAACGTCTTAAGCTATAAATAAAATTTCAAATCCATGTCTTATATATGTTTTCCATCTTATTTAGGCTTTGACTGCTGTTTTTTATTTAGTTTATTTTTTAGCAATTGTTTTTTTTTTTATTCAATGGGTATTTTCGCCAATACACTACTCAGGCGACTTCCTTCAGACTCACCCGAGTTACTCTGATTGGGAAAACGCCCAGTTCCAAGCCCGAGCCCAGCTTCTAAACATTGCTGAACTATTTTTACTGCTCTCCAATACACTCATGACTCTATGCCCTTTTTGTTTATATCCATCTAAATCTAGTCCCACCTGATAAGTTACTCATATCTCTGCTCTGTGACATCCATAAGTTTATAAAATTGATCGCCCTTCTAGAAAATAGGCGGTCTTCGCTCTCAATCCCTATACTGCCACAAAACCTTTTCTTTTTCTTAAAATTTGATATTTATTACATTATTCAAACATGCAAGATCACATGGTTCCGAGAGAGAGCAACCAAAGCAGAATACACAAACGCAGCAGCCAAAGCAGAATACACAAACGCTTACTTTCGAGACAAATCAAACAATAGCTATCACTCAAAACAATTTTTTTAGAACTTTATTACTCCAAAATATATTTTTTAGAACTTTATTACTCAAAACATATTATATATAAATCAAAACCGAAAGAGTGCCATCTTTAAAAAAAAAAAATGACAGAAAAAAAAAACAAAAAAATGATGCATGTGGTGAAAATCCAAAAGGGTGTCACAGGTAAAAATGTCAATCGAGCGGCGACAACCCCATAAGGATGGTATTAGTAAAAATGAAAAGAAAGGCAAAAAGGATACAATTGTCATGAGCAAAGCGCCTAAAATAAAATAGGGAGATGGAGTTTCTATAAGGCCTAGGTTTCAGGAAAACAAAATAAAACTTCACCTCAAATGCTCATCCGAAAAGCACTTTTGACAATAGAAATCTTCATGATGGCTCTAAAATTAATTTCCAACACCGATAATAAAATTTGAAACTCAAAAAATTATGCAGATCTTACGAATATCTATGTGTATTATTTAAATATTATAACTACAATATATAGTAATATTCAAAATATAATATATTAAATATTATTTAAATACTAACACTATTTGGGCCGGGTCTACATGGACCCGAACCCGGACCCGGACCTGGTCCCGAATAGCATTTGGGTCCAAGATTTGGATCAGGTCCTAACTCGCTAGGTCCAATTTTTGGACCCTGAACCTGGGTCAGGTTCAGTCGTAGGGTCCTGGGTCGGGTCAAGGTCCATTGCCACCCCTACCTAGGAGTAGGGTTTCATTTGAGTGCCGACCCTTTGGGGGTAAAAAATGAGATTTCATTTAGACAAATAAATATGAGAAATTCAAAAAGTGGTGATTTACACCAATCACGAGCTGACAGCTGGCTGTGCCACACCCTGCAGTGCACAGCCTTTGACTTTTGTGCCAAAGTTGTGGACAACTAGCCAACTAAGCAATTTTGTAGATTTCCTTGGGATTATGATTTGAGGTATTTACTTACTATTGCTTATCAAAATCGCATAATTTATCACTTCTTAAAATATTTCCTTTCTTTCTGACAACAGAACCGACCGTTTTCTAAGATTCAGGTTTCCTAAGTCCAAATTCTATGGGATTTGGGATATTTTTGGATTATTTTGGGTTGGATTATGGGTTTAGGGTAACTATGGTTTTACTGTGGTCCCTAGCGTATCACGCTAATGTGATCTGTAGAGATTAAATGGCTACTATATTGATTTTCCTATGATTTAGGTCATTTATATGCCTTAAGATCTAGAAATTTAGATAAAAAAAAGTCAATTCCCAATTGGATGTCTATGGTTGCTCCTCTTTAGCGCATCCCACCCTTCGAGGATATATGGGCAACAAAGACGTAGACACCTATAGACAGATGAATGATTTAGAAGACATAGATTTAAAGCTCAAAGGATGGTCGCCCCATCAAGTCCGTTCGGCACATTGATTGCTACCCTATCTCAGTTCATTGCCTAAGAATTTTTGCATCTAAAGCTTAGGGGTTGAGCATTCTCTGGAGTGTTTGCAATGCAGTATATATCGAGATTGCTGCCTAGGTTCCACCATGTCACTAATTCTAAGTTTTTGATGTCTAAAATAAAATGAAATGATGTGATGGATGGAAATATAACTGACTTTCGTGAATGAGTAGGATAGCCTAAGAAATGTTAGGGATATGATTTTGTGTTTATAGGATCCTAAAGATTATAATGAAGAACTTTTGAAATCAACTAAGGATAATTAAGAAATTATAAAATTAAGAACTGGAAAATTAAGAAGTAATGAAATTAAGAATCTTTGAATATAAGAAATGGGATAATTAAGAACTTAAAATTAAGAATAGAGAATTAAGAATTATTAAAAAGTAGAAAATGAAGAAATAAAAAATTATTAAATTAAGAAATCCTAAAATTAAAAATTAAAATTAAGAAAGTACAATTAAAAGATTAAAATTAAGAAATTTAAAACTAAAAAATGTGAAATTAAAAAACTAAATCAGAAAACTTTGAAAACAAGTGGATATTTTGAAAAAGAAATGGTCAAGAGTTTTAACTCATGCGACTATGCAGCCAACTAAGCAATTTTGTATCATGCAGCGATGGACATAACAACATAGAGTTTAATGTCATGTCGAGGACAACGCCATACAATTTAATGTTGCGTCAAGGACATTGAATAAATACA